TACAAGTCAAGCATTGCTAATGAACCTGTTTAATACTATTGGGTTGTCAGAAAAGTCATGATGCATTTTTGCGACGAAAAACATAGAAAAAAATACTTCATGACTTTTCCGACAGCCCAATATGTTTTGTAGCTAGAATGAGTTTAGGATTCAAATTTCCATTTGTTTTTCCTAAGTTAAGGATTTTTTTTCTACCAACAATGAACACTAACAACTAATTAAAGATAAAAATATTTTTTTTCTTCATTGGAATTATTTGAAAAACTATTTATTGCTTTTCGTTCATTTATTCCTCCACCCAACTTTGGGAAAACCCCTGTGCCTAGCATTGTACTAGGTCCCAAAGATGCGGAGATAAGGATGAAGGGGTGTGGCTGTGCCCTCCTCAGACAAGAATACACACAGCTGTAGGACCCAGCAGCCCATGAGCCTGGCTGAGAAGCGTCAGGCGGGAGGAGAGTGAAGTGACGCAGGGGCTGTGCAGGGACGCTGGGCATGAGCGTGCGGGCTCCGGCACCCAGGATATGAATGTGGGTAACCAGTGCATACTGATCGTGTGCCCCAGTTTTTATTAAGGTCTTGGGCGGGAACTTCCATCAGAGCCACTTCACTTTTACATCAGCCCTCTGCCTAGTCATCTTTTGAAGAAAAGATTTCATGATTTGAAAAAAAAAAAGTTTGAAATAGGTCCTATATTGGGGAGGTTAGCAAGAAAGAGTCAGGTGTTTTTTGGTCCTTTCGTACTTGCTGAAGTGTTGGGACACTCCCTAAAAGAGACAGCAGGATTGAAGGGGCATGGTGAGACCCCAGGTGTACAGCCTGAGGGAGCCTAACGTGGATTTCTACAAAAGAGACCATGGCAGGGGCAAAAATAAAGGGTGGTGAGTATAAGGGGTGAATTCCAGGTCCCAGGGGCCGGATGTCGAGATTGATTTGGTGGGGGGGTCAAAAGAGGCTGTTTAGAAGAATGCCAGGGTTTGGGGCTGGGAGGGTGCCATTCTTTCAAAGGAAAACAGTAGGTTTCCAGGGGAAATATGATGACTCCAATTTGCAGCACATTGTCAGGTGCTCTGTGAGGCAGCCAAGTAGAAATGACCAATATGTTATTGATACGTGGGCCTGGCATTGAGATCAGATTTAATAGAGGAGAATGGGGTCGGGGGGGAGGTCACGAGTGTGCTGGGGTCTGCAAGGCTGGGTGAATAGAATGAGGTATGGCTGCAGACAGTGCCAGGGACCAGCATCATTGAAGGGATAGGTACTGGACAATGAGATTCTAGGAAGATGCCCAGAAGAGATTGACGATGTAACAGGCACCAGAGGAGAAATGTCGAGAAGAGATCAGATAGCAGCGGCAGGTGCCACCGAGGGGTAAAGTTCAGAGAAGAATGGAAATATTTGGCCAAACGGTTTACTTCAAACCTCTTTGAGGTGGAGGCAAAGTTTTATAATTTTTCAAAAGTCATATAGCAAAACATGGTGTTTTGAAAGCAACTATTTCCTAGCTGCAGCTCTGGAATTTGTTACTATACAGCGCAAGAAAAGGAAGATGAAGCCAAAGACATGGTGATTTTAATCTCTCAGTATTGGCCTTAAAAAATATGTTTTTTTCTTGCTCCTTCTAAATATGCCAAAATAAGCCATCAAGCTATGACTAATTTATTAACTGTTCAGTGTTAGCTTTTGTCACATTTGACTTGGACCTGTTTTTAAAATGTGAAAGGCATGAAAAGATTATTAGAAGAGGAAAATAAAATCTAGCCTCAATATGAGCGCTCCAGTGTCAGAGTGTGTGAGTGTACCTGCGCGCATGCGTCTCCGCCTGCCCTTCAGCTGGCAGCCTCTCAGGTAAAGTGCTGTGGGTGAGATGGCTTTGCACCCAGCCAGCCTCGTTGTCACAAGCAAAGCACCACACCCCCGACACTCGTTTTCCTATCAGATCAGAAGTAGGTGTCCTCTGGGGCTGTGCTTTTCAAACTGTGGACTGCGACACTTTGGTGAGCTAGGAAATGAAAAATATCAGAGTATTTTGATATTATCCTCACACAGTGAGGAAAATCTTCTTTGGCCAAACTCACATTATTTCAGCTGTGTGTGTGTGTGTGTGTGTGTATGAGAGAGAGACAGAGAGAGGTATTACTGAATAGATCATGGTGTAAAATGTATTTTTTACTATTCATTGTGGTTCAAAAAAATGCTTGAGAAACACTGCCTTCTCTTGTAGAGCGCCTTCCTATTTTAAAAATTTCTCATTCCAGTTAACTGTTAAACTGTTCTTTTAGTGTAGCAAATATTTCATAACAATAACCGTGGAGTGGCAGGGATAAAAACTGTTAAGGCATGAAAGCTAATAACAAAAGAAAAAAAAAAGAACATTAAAAGGTAAATAAGGCCAACATCTGTGTCGTATTTGACCACAAGACGGAACAAGCCTTTAAAATTTATTAGTATTCCGACTAGCAAGCCATTACTCTAATTTATGAAGAAAAGTTAAAGTATGCTATATATATTACAAACAATGGAGTGATTCTTTTGATGGTGATATAAATAAGCAACCATAGCAAGGAGAAATACTGCTTTTTCAGAAGTAACAATACCATGGCACATAAATCCCAGAATTGGCCATTAAAGAAATGGGGTCTCTTCTGCCTTGCCACATAAAAAGATTCATTGACCGGGTTATGAGACAAGTCAGTGTATTTTTATTGGCCTGAACTAGAGGGAGTAAACACCTTCGTCAGGTGTTTTGTTTTAGAAACAGCTGTTTGAACTCCCCCCGCTGGTTAATTCTGCTCTGGGGATATTCCAGCGGTGGCTTTTTCCAGCACCCTTGCTGGTACTTAGAATCCAAGTGAATGAGCCATTTCCTATAAAACCAAGATTCAGTGAGAGTTTCTCTTTACTTATTTGTAAACTGCTTTAATTCTTCTCAACCTGTGATGTTTTATAGATCTTAGGTGGTTTTCAACAGGGACAGTTTGAGAATGCCAAGGGGTATGAATCACCACACAGAGAAGCTGAGGGAAGTGTTTCCATCCATCCGGGCAGCTCTCACACACTCACTTGGCCTCTACATCTTCCTTTACTCTTCTGCCCCTCTTATAAACCCTGGGGTGTTCATGAAACCCTTCACCATTCTAACCCCCAACTTCTGGCAATACTGTGTTCTCTGCCTCCTTCCCACTGTCAGCCACCTGGCAGAGAAGGCCTAGGTAGCAGAGGCATTGAGGCCAGTCATGTCATCCGGCCATATTTCCCGAACACCTCCCACCCCCGAGATTTCTGAAAAGTAGACTCTGAACTGTGCTGGCAGTGTGTCTCTGGAGATGGTGGTGGGGGTGGGGCTAGCAGTGTGGGTGTGGCTTATGGTGCTGGTGGGCGGGGCTAACAGGGTTGAGTCTTCCTTCCCACCTCCATCTCAGGCCCCTGCTCTCTCAGAGGTGTAGGAACACATAGCATTGTGTCAAATTAAGAGATGAGAATATTTTTCTTCTAAGAGAATTTTTTCACCCTGTTTGTTCTATGAAAACAAAGTGGTGGCCCTCTAGCCTGTTGCTTGTATTAGATGAGCAAAGTGAGGCTCAGCAGGCGAGGGCACCAAAGTGAGAAGCAAAGGTAAGACCTGAGCTCAGGGTCAAGGGTTCTGCTTCTGGCGCTTCCTGCTACGTCCCCAAGTCCATGAGGAGGCGGCCCTCAAGGTAACACTTAAGGGCATGATAGACTGTGGCTACATGGAGAGTAGAGAGTAAGACACAAGCAAGGCTTAAGCTTTGGAATGAAGACAATAGAGAAAACATACAAGGTTTATGTTGGACACTGTGACACAGCAAGCATCTTATTTTTTCTGACTTTTATGTTCTCGGCTATAAATAAGACTCAAAGACAGGTGAAACACACAAAAAGCACACCCCAGCCCGACGGATGGTCTGTGTGAAGGCAGCATTCCTCTAGTTACTCTTTGCCTGATTAAGTGATGATACAGGTAGATTCTGTACTTCTTCCCAAAGTTTGCTGTGATAATAATTCAGGATATCAAAATTATCATCCTTTGGGAAAATGCCATACTTGTGGGAGTTTGTATTGTTATCAGAATGCCAATACAACTTTCAAGTCTCATATTACATACTTGAATACTTTCTCTACAGAATTTTTGTCCGCCTTCACTAATCATGCAGGATATGAACCATGCACGCACCACGTTGGCTTCCTCGGTTTGATACATGACAAATGCAGTAATACTATAAAACCTACAAATAAATATACCCATATTCCCTTGATTTCATCCCAGTGCCAGTAAATGTCATCAGGATGTGGGTTGTGTGAAGCATTGGATAGAAGTCGCTGACACCTCAGAATGCTGGTACTCTCCTCTGTGTATGGTACTGGCTGGCTGATGACTGGATAGTGTCACATGACTGTCAGGATCAGCTCCCTGAGCTGGACGTGGTACCAGGTGATCAGAATGGCCATCACTTCTTCAAGGATTCTGAAAATTGGCAGGCAGGCTGAAGAAATTTTTAAAAGTTAAGGATAGTTAGCTGCAGTAAAATTAGTATTTACTGCCCTTCTGAAATCAACCCATATGTTCCTATTTTCTGATATTTGTGACAATGCTTTTAGACCCCTTCATGGTTTATGGTCTAACATAAACAATGTCTTCTTGATTCATTGATTTTTGGGTTCCTGAAACAGACGTGTGAAGCTGAATTTCCTCAGTTTTGTGTGTCACAGCAACCCTAGATTTTACATTTTTGTCATATTTTAAGCAGCAAGTTATTTCTTCTTTTATGCAAAGTACCAACAACATTTGGGGGCACTTTTTAAATAAAATAAGTCACTGAAGTTTGCTACAGAATAAAACACACCAAAAGCAGCTGGAGCCCAAGCCACCCAATGGGTCACTTTTGGTCTTTCCGGCCACTGATTCCATCTCAGTGTGACACTGTATTTCATGTAACCTGAAGTCTATATGTTATTGACCTATACAATTCTTCCTTTAGGATCCACCTACTTCAGTTTCCCTTGGACTGCGCATGGAAGAAATGATTTTCAACTTGGCAGACACACATCTATTTTTTAACGACTTAGAAGTAAGTGCAGTTATTTTATACATACTTCATGTCGCATGTCTGAAAGTGAGTGATTGGTCTTACAATACTGGGACATTATTTTTCTAATATATAATTGGAATAATGAGCGAAAGGAATTGTCGATTATGTGGTAATGCATTTTGCTTTCATAGTATGGCTTTGCTTTACTTGGGCTGTCGTGTTTCAACGTTAGAGTCCACACAACCGTTGAAAAGGATTAAAATTGGATGTCAAGACTCTAAAACACAAAGCTGTTGATTAGCCGAAGCTATGGATTTCTCAGTTACATAACCACTGTTGAGATGGATTGCCATTAGAACTCAACAGAATTTCTGATGCTTGCGTAGATGTCTGTGTCAGATTGTTGCTGTGCTGGGGTTGGGTGCCTTCCTTTCTGGCTCACCCAGTTCGTTGGATTTTGTTCAGAGCTCTGGGCAACAGGATTTCCTATGTCAAACTGCTGCTGATTTTATTTGTTCATTATAATTTGGGGGGGAAACTTGTGTAAGATGGCTAGTTACATGAGTTGTCGGCCATGACACCCAATGATCTCAGTGGGCAGCATTCCTAAGAATAAGGAATATTGTTCTCCCTACCTCCATTCTGAGAAAACATGGCTGTACCTACATTTCACTCCCTTCTTAATAGGGACGGTTGTTTATTTAAATCCTGCTGTTAAGCACGCTTGTGGTAGGGCTGCTAACAGGCATTAGTCATCAAGTTGTTGTTTTGCTAGATTTTATACATGTCTGTTATTTCAGACAGGAGAAGAATCTGAAAGATTCAAATAGAACTTTTACTGATCAAAGTTAATTGGCAGCAATTGGCCTTTAAATATTTCCTGATGTTTCCCTTTTCAAAATCAAGTAAAATGCACCTTACTTAATAGATGAGCCAAAATCATTCGAAAAATGCCAGTGTGTGACAGAACTTAAATGCGGTTTGTTCAACATCTGTCCTGTATTTTGATTTCTTTTCATCTGCAGTGAAACCACTCACAGACGAATTGGCAACTTCCAGTGCAATGAAATTATTTAAATTGTGCTTCATTTTTTTTTTGCCATTCCTTACTGAAATATTTATTTTTACAGTTAGAGTAAAATACAAAAGCTTTTTGCATTTTAAAGTGTTTGCTTTCCTGAAGGAAGTTACGTGTGAGGCATTAGTACTTTTTAAGGTAGAAATATTCCAAATAAGTGACAAGTTAGAACTGCCTTTAGAAAAGCTTAATAATCATACTTATTTTCAAAAGCTGTTTCTGATTTATGGTTGCGATTCACTTCGTAAGAGAGCAGCACAGAAAAATTTCATATTTTACTAGCATGTTCAAATTCCTTTCCTAAGTTTCCATTTGTTTCTAATGACACAGGCTAGGCTGATATTTTGTGTTGGGTACAACCTTGTTCCTCTTATTGATGTTAATAGGTGTTAATAGCACCCATCAAGAAGAAATTAGCAGTAATTTGCTATTGTGTTTAAACTCTACCTTCTTAAAAATGCCATAGCTTGTCTATACAGTGCCAAAACTGTGTGGTGAAAAGTGAGAAATGGGCAAGTATAATATAAACTGAAAAACTTCCAAACTCAGTTTTGATGTGATGCAGCCAGATTTTTATTTGTTTACTGACATTATTTATGCTAAACCGTATAGAGAGAGTATCTGAAATAAACGTATATGTTGAAAGTTCTGGTTTAAGGATGGAGAGGATGTCATTTTTCTATAAACCCAAAATTAAAAAAAAAAAAAGAAAAGTATAGAGGTCTCCACAGTAATTGAAATATCAGATTCTGTTCTTGGTGTGAGGTTTCTTATGAGAAGTAAAGGAGAAAAGAATGAAGGTATAATTCAGCCAAATATAAAAAGCAATAGTGGAAAAAAAATTTAAGCTTGTAACCTTACAAAAGTTGAATTTCAGTCATTTTAGTTGAGGATTAACATAAGAGTATCAGCAAAAGTCTAAAGGAAAGATTCATTTAGCCTTTGTCTTTGGAAATTGTTGACTTGCTCTAAATTTGCATGTTCTAAAAATAAATGGATTCTTGTATTTATTTCAAACTTTTAGTTTATATTTTTGTAACTCAACAAACTTGGGACTGGTCATTGCAAATATTAGTTTCTTCAAAATAAAAAGTAAAATGATTTCCTGGCAAAAATAAATGTACTGGCCTAATACTCCTAAGGAAACCAAAATTATCTCATCAGGCAGCAATGATGTGGTAATGCCTGATTTCACACTCCAGTTAGCAACGTGCTGTGGTAGGGGACATGAATATTTAAATGACATGTTTTTAGCTTTTTAGGAGCAGTGGTACAATTAATTTCAAGGAGATTAACAATCTGTTAGTTAGCTTTCAGTTTGATTTCTGAACTCTTATTGTTGATCTTTAGCCTTATTTTCTTTAAAAATCTTAACTTTTTTTGCCAGCTACCCCTCCGTATAATTTGGTTAGCTCACAGCTTTGGCTTATAAGAGATTCTGAACAATGAAATACACTACGTGAAGGATTTCCAGTAACAATCCTTGTGCTCTCCAAGTGTGTGCCTAAAACGATCATTAGGATATTCTTTAGGAAATTTAGCATAGGATTGTAATTTTAAAACATAAACTTTAAAACATAAAGTTAACCATTTTTAGTTTTAAGTCTTATGTGTCATCTCATTTAGTGACATTGTTTAATAAAAGCAATCACAATTTAAATTTTGTTGACACTGCAGGAAAAAAAATAAAAAGAAATTTTCTTTTTTCTTTCCTTTTTTTTTTTTTTTTGGCACCAATAAAAATGTTTGACATGTTAAGGAACATGAGTGGCAGGGAGACATAATTATCAAAGGAAATAATATTTTCCCCCAGCAGAGAGAAGGGTTTAGACTTTGGTTTCATAGTGGACTGACTGCTACCTTTCCTATTTCTGCATCTAATGTCCTGTGTGTATCATTTTACCAAAAGGTCCTTGTGTGCAATATGATGATGCTTCTATGGAAGTCATTTTTTATGAATGACAGTATGGAACTGGAGTTTCTTTTTCAGCTTTTTTCATGAAGTAGGACTCTTTCTGACTGAATGGAGAAAGAGTTCATTCTGTTGGACTTTTATTGAAAGGCAGTCTGCAAACAGAGTGAGGAAAGGCCTTCCACATACGATAAATGTTTCAGTTTAACTTGCTGTTGGTCAGTTTTCCTGCTCGATTTTTTTTCCACAGTTAGAGGAAACTAGTTCATCAAGATGGATATTAAGTCTAAATAAAAATAAGGTGTATGCTTCTGTTGCATTTTCTCTTTCTGTCTGGTGTTAAGTATACCGTTTCTCTGGCTTTATGGTTGCCGTCCTACTGATATCACTGACATGGCAGTCATCTCCAAGGGCCTGCTCTCACGCCACACTCCCTCCCTGCGGGGACCAGGTTGGGAAGACACAGGAACCCTCCTCGGGCACAGGAAGGTGGTGTATACACCACCTTCACCTGGTCAGGTGTGGAGCGGCCTTGGAGCTGTCTCCTTTACTCTCCTAGTGCTTTGTGCGTGGTTATCTGGGACACACCAGAGCACTGTTTGGTGTCAGGATTTGTGACCTGAACACTCTCGCCCTTTCTTGGGTCTCCCATAGTAGACTCCTATCCCAGGCCTCTTTTTTACGTCTCTGCTCTTGTACCCCTTTGTTTTCATCTTTTCTATTAAGAAAAGGCCTGAGACAGAAGGTTCCGGTCTCCGCAGAGCCTGGTTTTGTTGAGTCAAAGGCCAAGCAAAGGAGCTGTGGACAGCCTGTAAGGAATGCCATAATGTAAAGGAAGTCAGCTGGAATGATGTCTTTTTTTTTGTTTTTTTTGTAAGCAAAGAAATTAGTCTGCTCCTTGGTTTAATTCAGTCTTTAAATTTGCAATGCTATTTTATTCCTCTAAAACTTAGGTTATCATCTGTTAATTATTTTAATGTATTTTGTTTATACATTTATTTTTAGCTAGGAAAAAAAAGTCTTTCTTTAAAATATCAGTCACGCTAATGCTAAGCAGCTTCCAATTCCAGTGAAGAATTCTGTATTGACATAATACTTTCAAAAGTGTAAACGTTTTAAACTAATTCAGAAGTTGACTTTTTTTTGAGTTGAAAAACATAATTCACCTAGAAGGTGCTTTAGTCTCTGTAAATAAACAAGAAGAAACTCTGATGTCCAGGGTCCAGCTGTTGTGTGGCTGCTGGAAGCTGGGGTTCCCTGCTGCCTGAGGAAGGGTCTCGTGGGTTCTTGCAAAGAAAACGCTTCAGGAAGAGCTGGAAGCTGTTTTCTGCTTTCCATCCCTTCCACAAGCCAAGACTAACTATTGTACATGCGCCTGAGGGGACGTATCAGCACTGACATTCCAAACGTAAAGGTACCCATGGACATATACACGTGCATACGTAAGCCCATTGCCATTTTCAGCTCTGTCCGTAAGCTTTTGTATACTTATTTATTGTCTCCTGATAAATTCAGCAAACATAAAGGATCAAATTTTTTTTGAAATCCTAGTAACATCCTAACACCCAGAATATCACCTTATGCATGTTGACCATTAAATATTTGTTAGATTGAACTCTCATCTGTTAGAATAGAATGGACTAGAAATTTGTTTCCTTCCCCGTGGAAGACAAGAGTTGACTTTGCCTCCCTATTTTTAAGGTTGGTTGCTTGGCTTTGTGCATTTCCTTAGTTAACAAAAATAACAGCAACACCCTCAGTTTAGGTTGCAAAAGAAGCTTTTCAGGCAACAAATAATTTTTAGAGATAATACATGTGTATTTAACTGTATTGTGAGTGATGGCCAAAAAGAAGCAATGCCCATATTTTATTCATTACAATGAGTAATGAATAATTTTAAATGTTTTTATTTCTTTATCACTTTTTACAAGATCCTGTCATCTTTATTTTATCTCAAGTAAAATATAGAAATACAAAATATATTCAGACTTACTTAATTCTGATGTTCATCAGAAAGTTCAGTCCAAGTATATAGCTGTTCAACATAATAAAAGATTGTGAAACCTAATACCAACAGCCAGCATTGTTCTTAAC